CAGGTCTCCTGTGGCACCTTATAACCGATTTTGTGGAGCATAAGCTTTCGTGGGCAAAGACCCACTCCTTGTTGCTTTTGCAGATTTAGACTAACACGGCTACAACTCTGATACCTGTACAGGTCTGTTTTTATCAAGACAGTAGAAAGAGGCACCATTAGCTCCCAGCTCCATGACTTTTCACTGATTTATTGATTCCAAAGCCAGAAGGGATGACTATGATTAGTGGTCAAATTGGTCAAATTGGTGGTCAAATATTGGAATAAATTGCCAAGGGAGGTGGTGGAATCTCCCTCTCTGGAGATATTTAAGAACAGGTTAGATAGACATCTGTCAGGGATGGTGTAGATGGAGCTTGGTCCTGCCTTGAGGGCGGGGGGCTGGACTTGATGACCTCTCGAGGTCCCTTCCAGTCCTATTATTCTATGATTCTATGATTCTATGATTAAGTCTGACTTCCTGTAGTATACAGGCTGTGGCACTTCAACCAAAATAATTTTTATAGGATATCTTTTAGATAAAATTCAATTTTGATTTAAAAATTTGCTAAATGATGGGGAATCTACCAGGCCCCTTGGTAAATGTTTCCAATGTTCTGTGGCCCACAATAGCCTGTCTCTTCTTTGCTCCAACTTTGCAGTCAATTGTGCAATTTGCTGCCCACTCTCACCACTAGTTCCTCTTGATATTATGGTTTCTCAGTTTCCTCCCTCCCATTGAGTATCTCTTTTTCACATTATTTTCCCCTCACATATATTAATGTGTTTTCCCAAGATGAATCTCATTTTATTTCCTTCCCATGTTTCTGTTCTCTCTGGATTCTTTTGTCTTGTTCCTTTGCTGTGGCAGATATTTTCAGCTTATCCCATAATAATAACATCTGTGAGTTTCATTAATATGCTACTTACTTCCTCTTCCAGGAACATTATAATCAAGATGTTAAAGAAGTCTATACCAATCCCTGCAATATCTCACTGGACACCTGCCCGGTACACTGTTCCAAACTTTAGAAAAACATGTTGTTGATCTAAGGGCAGAATTCATCGCCAATTAAGTTCAAAAGGGCACTAGAATATAAATAGTAACTATATTGTTCTGTCAGTGTTCTCGAGCGTAACAGATGTTCATTCACTCTAAAACCATCAAATACATGGAAGTTGCCAAAGATGATATATGCTCTTATTTCTCTAGTTCATACACTCCAGAGAGTTTGCTCATCTTGTGAGGCCTGAGTTAAGATTTAATCCACTTCAATCTAAGATTCGCAGAAAAAGGACATTTCTGAACATAACGTTGCAGCCCTGAAGACTGGAAAGGCACTTTTCATAGGGTATGTCTACACTACAAAGTTAATTCGAACTAATGGACGTTAGTTCGAATTAACTTTGATAGGCGCTACACTAGCGCTCCACTAGTTCGGACTTAATTCGAACTAGCGGAGCGCTTAGTTCAAACTAGGTAAACCTCATTCCACGAGGACTAAGCCTAGTTCGAACTTACTAGGCAGGGACACCATTCCTAACCCCTGGCTAATAGCACTCCATGTACCCAACCTCCATGAATTGATCTAACTTCTCTTTAAACTCTGTTCTAGTTCTAGCCTTCACAGCCTCCTGCAGCAAGGAGTTCCACAGGTTGACTATTTGCTTTGTGAAGAAGAACTTTCTGTTATTAGTTTGAAGCCTGCTACCCATTCATTTCATTTGGTGTCCTCTAGTCCTTCTATTATGGGAACTAATGAAGAACTTTTCTGTATGCACCCTATCCACACCACTCATGCTTTTATAGACCTCTATCATATCCCCCCTCAGTCTCCTCTCTTCTAAGCTGAAAGGCCCTGTCCCAACCCCCTGATCATTTTAGTTCCCTTCCCCTCTCCCAGCCTCTCTCTTCCCCTCTCCCACTTCCTTTTCCCAGTCTCCCCCAGTTTTGTTCAATAAAGAGAGATTCTATTTTTGAACACGCGTGTCCTTTATTTTGTACATCAGGAAGGGGGGCTAGGGAGGGGTAAGTGGAAGGAGGTGAGGGAGGAATCGGGTACGAGCCCCCGATGGGGAGGACTGGACTGGCTCTGCGGGCTGCTCGGGGTGGAAGTTCTCCTGCAGCTCCCTGATTGTCCCCTCCCCCCAGATGGCAGCCTGTGGCAAGTGCAGCCGGGCTGATGGCCGAGCGCTGTGATGTTCCGAGTGTGGGCACTCAGGGCACTCCAAGCCAGGACTACTTTGCAAGCGGGGCACCCCTGAGAACTGTCTGTCCGGGGTGGGGGTTGGGTCCCTTTAAGCACAGCCCTCGGCTAGCCTGAGACAGCAGCTCCACGCTCTAAGTCCTACTCTGATGCCCTGCCGGCACTGCTTCCGGCCATCCTTAACCTCGGTTCAGGGTCCACTCAATGTGGACATGCTAGTTCGAATTAGCAAAACGCTAATTCGAACTAGTTTTTAGGTCTAGATGCGCTAATTCGAATTAGTTCGAATTAGTGCTGTAGTGTAGACATACCCATAGGTATTTATTCTGCGCCCTTCAGCAATAGTTGAAGCTAGGCTCAAAGCTAAGCCTAGCAAGTCCCATTTGTATGACTTTTACTGGTGTTCTGAAGGCCAAAGATAAATGGGTCAGCACAGGATGGAGTGTTAGCATATTCAAACAATCTTTTTCTCCTTCTCCACTATAATAAAATATCTGATACAAACCTATGAGGCAGGTCCCACAGCCACCTAGGGCCCTGACAAAGGTGGGGAGGAGGCAGCTCTGAACCCCCAAAAGGGGCAGGGCCTTAGGCAGAAGGGGTAGGGCCAGTGGCAGTGCAGGCCCTCTCCCCCAAACTCCAGAGCCTGAAGGAGCTCCAGCACTCTGGTGGTGATTCAAAGGGGCCTGGGGCTCCAGCTACCACCACTGCAGTAGCAGCAGTGGTGGCTGGGAGTCTCAAGCCCCTTAGAATCACCAGTTCCCTGGGGCAACTGCCCTCTTTGTCCTTCCCTGTCAGCAGCTCTGAACCTAAGCAAATGCTCTTCAACCTATGGCCCTTCTCTACACCCAGGCTCCAAATCAGAATGCAGTTTTGCTGGTGCAGCTTCCTGTTTGTAATTAAATTTGGGCACAAGTATTAGCAAGCATAATCACATCCATTTAGATATCTACCATCCTGTTTAGTCAAGGTAGTTATGTGAACTCATTACCATAGTATCTGAGCACCTCATCATTTTTAATGTATTTCTCCTTATAGCAGCCTGGGAGGTAGGGAAGTGCTGTTATATCCATTTAATAGATAGGGAACTAAGACAGTCTATGACCCTGTCCTCAAAGGGATTCAGCCTCCTAACTTCCATTGAACTCGATAGAAATGGGGGGGCTGAATACCTTTGAGGCTCTGCCCTAAGGGTATATCTGTCCAGCCCAAGGGCATCCCAGGTGGACAGACTTAGGATTGTAGGGCTCACACTACCATGTTAAAAATGTCTACGTAGACCCTGAAGGTCAGGCTGGAGCTTGGGCTCTGCGGCTTACCAAGGCAGGGAGGGCTTCCAAGTCCGTGTTCCAGGCAGAGTGAAACTTAAAAGTGCTGTATACACAGTTAGTTTTAGCTCATTAGCACAGAGACCCTGGAACCTGAATCTGTTGAGCCAGACATGGAGGGTTGCTGCCATGAGCTGCCTCTGGCAGAAGAACCCAAAATGACTTGTGCTAAGTCACACAGGACACTTGTGACAGAGTAGGGAACCAATTCCTCAGTGAAGGACCTAATCATCAAACCATCTTTCCTCTTATGGTGTGTCTATATGTAATTATGAATTGTAGCCCCAGGTGGGGACAAAATACTGTAACAAGCTTCGGGTCTGTATGATATTTAGCTTGCCCAAACGGGGCCTCAGACTGAGGTACAGATTGTCAACTGCTGAAAATTTTGTATTGGGAAATTGTAAGGGTGCGGCTACACTGCATCGTAACTCAAAATAAGATATGCAATTTGACCTATGCATATCTTATTTTTATGCTATTTCAAAATAGCTTATTTCATCATTTGGCGCTGTCTACATAGCTCCAAATTTCAAAATAACGCACTATTCCAGGGATGTCAGAATAGCAAGCTTGAAATAAAGGGCTTTCTCTGAAGACATGGGATAGTTACTTCAGGATACTCCAGTATCCCGAATAGTGTTGCAGTGTAGATGTAGCCTAAATGTGTTATGGTTCTAAATACCTGTGAGGTCAACTATGGATGTTTCAGAAAACATATCCGTTATTACCATGAGATGGCCACTGTAATGTCTTGGGGAATTCTAAATTAACCACAGATTGCTATGGTAACTATTTGCTACAAATGTTAATGAGTAAAAGAGGAACTAATGAAGTAGCCTATGGAAAATGGGGCATACCTAAATTAGTGGGGTGTGGAAGAATGGATATGGAAAAAGGGGTTGAAACCCTTATGCATCTGGATGATCATTAGTGGGCTTAAGTATCCTCAGGATAAAAGGTATTGTCCAGCTGTGCATGGACGGAAACACGTACGGAGAAGCTAGAATGACAACCACTGGTAGTGATGATGAGAAAAATGATGAGAAAGATAATGACTAACACGCCACGGTTTTGCAGCAGGCAAAGTGAGAGGTGATTGATGTCAATCAGAGAGCTAACCATTTGGCACCCCCCAGGCATACTTTAGGGAGGGCAGGGGGCTAAAGCTCCCTCCATTCCTATTGGAACATTACTGGCTGTTTCCCTTCATCAGGGCGTGGGGGAAAATGCACAATTTGCTGCATTCATCTCTCTAGATGGGGAGTTCAGGAGATTGTCAAACTTAGACCTGCTTCAGCTGGGAAACATGCACCCCTCCCCTAGCTGTGCCTGCTGGAGCTGCAGCAGCCATGGAGAGGTGCTTCTCATCTGGTCCCAAGCTGCGATGAAAGAGGACTCGGGTAGTCCTCTCTCTCTGTGGAAGCCTGCATACTGAAACCCTCATCCCCAGCCCCACCCCAGAGCAATGATTCAAATGAAACATGTACATTTACATTTTATTTTCCAAAAAAACAAAAATTAATTGAGTTAAGGACCCAAGCAACACCGGGTAAATCTTCTAGTACCTTTATAAAAGCAATCCCCATGGCTTAAGTTCTTTGTTTTACAGCAAAATCCTTTTGCTCTTATAAAAGAATCTTAATACCAAATTTTGCCACAAATTATTGTATTAATAATGTTAATTTAAAGACTTGAAAACACCAACTCTAATTTAATCTGCCTTTGTTTGGCACTGAATAATGATATTTCTAATTATTACATTTACATTTGATTGTGAAAAACCTGTATTTCCTAGACTTATACAATTAATGTTGGGTCTTGGGATCTGCATCCTGCCTGTAGCAAACTAATAACCTGGAGGAAGAAAATTCTTTAAAAGTACTGGAGTGTTTCACATGTAGCTGCATCAACAAAGGCTGTAGTATATCAACTGTTCCCTAACTTTAAACACATGCTTGCCAAATAATAAAGGACGTGAGCCTCAAAAGAGACAGCTATCTATTTAGAGATGTTGATGCTAGGTTAAGAGATTAGACAGGTACTAGACCTCTGAAGAATCAGGTGTACCATTTGTAAGGGGAACTGTAACACCACTATCCTGCTGTGATCCCCTCCATCAGTTAACGACAAGTGCAGCTCTGCTAATTAAAACCAGTGATGACACTTCCATGTTCTTCTCATGGCCCTTCAAATGAGTTGGATCTTGCTCATGGGCAAAGCTCCCATTGACTTTAGGTGGAGAAGGGCCCAACTGGGCCCAACTGTTCCCCTTGAACCATATTCTGTAATGATGCTATAAAGTAATAACCAGTCATAAAACTAACCACTTGGCACCCCCTGGAATCCTTTAGGGAGGGCCAGGGATTAACACCCCCCTCATTCATATGAGAACATTGTGTAGTATACTTTGGAGGCTGCAATCATAACAAACCGATCTTTGCATTCCATGTGGTTTTACTGCCAATTTTAATGGGACTAAACCCACGCTGGGTGTGCTGGAGACCTCACATAATTCTGCTTTGCTATAATAATAATTGCTTTATGACAGTGACCGAATACAGGACTCTGTTTTAATCAAGGGAGCTACTGTTTTAAATTTGGACATAATGGACAGTTACTGGGAGTATCATATGAATTATTTAAGTGTGTAGAGGCTGTTCTTTGTGTAAGAATCAAGCCTGCAAACCCTAATTCTCCTGGAACTAATGATGCCATTTCAGCATAGCCCAAACTATGGGGGGATATTGGCCATGGAGAGGCATCCAGTCTCGATATATGTGATGCTGAACTCCCTAGAGCAGAAGGAGGGCATTACCTCTACTACATCTCTTAATGGGGTACAGCTTATTCTCCTGCCATGCATACTGGGTCCATTCTGTAATGTCCTCCCCGCCTTCCCAGCACTTCCTATCCTTAGTGGGGCTCTGTGCATGCATGGTGGTGTAGGGAGAGAGCAGGCACTGTGACTCCTTCAGAGAAGGGACTATGACACCGCTTGGACCTTACACAGGCCACTGCCAAGAAGGATTCATCTTGCTCCTCCACCCCATTGTGCATCTATTTAAGGAGAAGGCAGAATCTAGCCCCTCAGTAATTCTTACCAATGTAAGTAGCTCCACTTGTTTTAATATAATTTAAATACTGAATCAACACCACAATTAAAAACAGAACGAAACAAACAACCCCCCTCAACAAATTTAAAATTGGCCAAGAAGCCAGTTTGTCTATTAGATGAGTATGGCGATTTTCTCCACTGAGGTAAGAACCCATGCCTATAAGGGATCTTAATGCAGGTAATCAGCTGCCAGCAACAGTAATGGGAATTATGTTTTCTCTCAAGGAGAGAAAAGGCTGCTCAGATTGTGTTTGGCACGATTAACAATAAGCTAGAGTAGCAATGAAGCACGGAAAAGAGGTGTGCTGTATTTGTGATTCACAGGCAGAAACTACCCCTAAGAAGTAGGCAGCCCTGACAATTGCAAGCAAGTAAATTCTAAAAATATTTTTATAACATACAGTACAGCTTGAGTTCACAACTGTGTATATTTATTCTAGTCACTTTTGCTAAATAAAATTAAGCAAATATGTCAAAGTATATGTGAAAGTTGACTTTTAAAGGCTTCATACAGAAAGGTTCAATGGCCTGGTATACACAGACAAAATTAATGTTTGTTAACAAAATAAGTATTTTACTTTTGTTTTAATAATATAATTTAAATACTGAATCAACACCACAGTTAAAACCAGAACAAAACAAACAACTCCCCTCTACAAATTTAAAATTGACCAAGAAGCCAGTTTGTCTATTAGATGAGTATGGCGGCATTTTTGTGAAAGCGATTTTGTCCAGAAGGTGCTAGCAAGTAAAGTCAATGACACACTAACAAAGGGAAATCCAGATAAGAGGGATACAACTCCAGAGACGAATTAGAACAATTACCTAGAACCATATTCAAATTTGGCAGGAAGACTGCGTATGCATGGCTGTGTATATATATGACAGAAAGGCAGCGTTACTATTACATACATGAAGCTACAACCAGATGCCATTTCCATGCTCCAAGATTAAAAGTATTGTTAATAAAAGGGAGATGGAAACTAAAATGAGAAAGAAAAATCAAAGAGAACTTCAAAAGTCACCTCTTTCATGATTAATAGTCCTCAATAGCAAATGTTGCATGCACTACTTCCCACAAAAGCTAGACAAAGATGTTCCATTCCCAATATATATCCTTCATTTCTTTTCATGAAGAAAGGTTTGAGAAAGCAGATCGCTGGGAAGAAATACTACAAACTTCTAAATTAGTGAAAGAACTTCCGGCGTCACTAGTGTATTCTGGGTAGGAGGCACTGGAAGAGATTATGTTTTTCAGCCTCTGAAGTGCAATGATTAATAGCAAAAGAAGAAATGCTAAGAGACTGAGAAATATAGATACATAGACATAGACATTTGATAAGCGGCCCGATGAGGAATCCACTGAAGTTGACAGGGATGTGGGATATAGCTCCAGAAAAGTCCCATTTTCCATGTTTCCTACTAATCCAGATGAAGGATCAAGTTTTGACATTTTGTGTGTATGTTTTAAGGGAATAAATCTTGTAGTCAAAGGCAGTTTTAGAAGTGTAAAAAATGCTGTAACCTAGATGCTCTCATTTTTCCATCACAACATAGGTATAACTAGTCATCCTGTGATCAGAATTATTCTTCACTTCTCAAATCCACAGGTAATATAAAATGCTGTATCCTTCAGTCCTGAAAGAAAAGAAAAATAGAATTAATTTACTAGTAGACCATGTAGTTTAATTGCTCACCTGAGGCAATGTACTTGAAAAACAGGAAATTATTTTCCCATAAAGGTGACTTCAAGGACTTAGAAAAGAAGAAGAAGAAGAAATTAGTGTCTTTTGCTTTATGGGGATAGGAAGAAAATTCTGCACATAAATTTCCCACAGCTTTTACTAGAGATTAGCCTGATCCAAACAGCTCTGAATTTGCTGTGGGAGGAGGTCTTTGATTGCAAACCTAGATTCAGACTCAATTTTCTCTGTTGACTATATGCACATGAAGTCAAATGAACCACAGAATCCAAGCACCCTCAATTTTTTTCAGTGGAAGATGTTTCACAATGAAGACCCCGGCCATCTTTATTGATGCCATCTACAGTCATGTTTGCCAGTTTACCTCTGTGTGAGCCCTCACCATGAACTAAACTGGTAATATCCCAAATCTGTCAGAGGATGGCACTGGCCAAGTAAATGCTGTTTCATAATTTAGGATGAAAATTTGTGCTTCCATATGAATTCCTTGCTATCAGGAAATCTTTACAAAATGCAGGTTTTGACCGTCTACTTGGCTTCCACTCTGGGGAAAAAAAATCAACCAATATAGAAGGGGTGGGGAACGTTAGCTCGTGGGGCATCTGGCTTGCCTGGATCTGGCCCCCGAAGCTCAGTATTGGGGAGCCTGCTTCAGCCCCTCTCCCCTGCTGCCCACCGTGGTCTGAAGCACAGAAAAATCTATAGGTCACCCATTGGATCTGGTGTGGGAGAGGAATGTGGAGAATGAATTTCGCCCTCTCAGTTGGGGGGTCACATCAGTGAGGGTTGGGTTGGGGTTTTTTTGGCTTCTCACTTGTGTGCGGCCCCCAACTGATTTTTCTGTGGGTCATCAGCCCCTAACCCAAAAAAGGTTCCTCACTCCTGCAACATAGTCTAAAACTGGGCTTAGAGGGGGACTTTTTCTTGTGAGCAAAATTTAAGCAAGACATGAAAACAATCCTAGTGTGTTCTTACTCCTGTTTCAAAGTGAGGTCAATCAAGGCACAACACAAAACTTTTAGTAGGTGGCAGGTTGAAAGACATATAATATAAGGCAGACTAGTGTAGGATATATTTATATTCCAGCCTACCAGGAACTAAGACTTAGGTGTGTCTATGCAAACATTCAGGCTTTGTCTACACTGCAGGATTTTTGCACAGACGCTTTTTGTGGAAGCGATCTTCTGCAAAAACTTCTTGTGCAAAAGTGTGTCCACATCGTAAAAGCGATGTGCTTTCGTGCAAGAGAGTGTCCACACTACATGGACACTCTTGCGCAAGAAAGTTCCCTCCTCCCAGGTTTCCCCCTCCCCACTCCCACCCTTTCTCCTCCCCTCTCCCGCCACCTTTCCCCAGTTTCACCAGAGTTTCATCTCCCCCCCACCCCCGCCAGCTTTGTTAAATAAAGAGAGTTTGTGTTCATGAAAATACGTGTATTTTATTTGACATCAGGAAGCGGGGTTGGGGGGAGGGGTAAGTGGAAGGATGCGAGGAAGGAATGAGGCACAAGCCTCCAGTGGGGCAGACCAGGGAGGCTCTGAGTGCTCCTCAGGGTGGAAGCTCTCCCGCAGGGCCTCCTGGATACTGACAGCCCCCCGATGGACCTCCCAGATGGCAGCCTGCAGAAAGTGTATCCAGGCTCACAAGAAGCACCAGAGTGCCCAGGGGCAGCTCTGGCTCCATGTTGCAGAGTGATATGGTGTCCCAAGTGAGGGCAACCAGAGCACTCTGAGACACAAATGCTTTGCTGTCCCTTAGCGAGGCAGGCAAGCAAGCAGGGACACCTGGGAACTGGCGCTGTGTGTGTGTGTGTGTGTGTGTGTCCCTTTAAGCACAAGCCTCAGATAGCTTCAGGCAACAGCCACACAAAGACACTCCTGACCTGATGCCCTACTCCTGGCCTGGTTCTGTCCAGCCTTAAATCCGAATCAGTGACCACTCAGTGTGGATGCGGTATTTCGAATTAGCAAAACACTAATTTGAACTGCATTTTGTGTATAGCCGCATTAATTTGAATTAGCTTAATTCAAATTAACTATTTCAAATTAAGATAACTCGAATTAACACTGTAGTGTAGACATACCCTAAGATTGTGGGGGAAAGGTAGTGGCCTTCTCTTCCCCTACAAAGAGAACATCTGCACAGAACACAAGTTCCACACATCAAGCTGATGGAAGACAGGGTTCTCACCTATGAGGAACTTGCTTTGGACTTCATTTCATTTCAGCTTATGTATTTTTAGCCTTCATTCCCAGGCTTTGAGGAACACATTTTTATTTGGTAGAGAAGGATTTTTCCCTTGCTAAGATTTTCCTTAAACCTGTATTTATTAGGTTTATATCTGCACCTTTCTAATGCATCTGTGAGAAGTCTAAACTATCCATCTGGGAAAGTAAATGTTGCTGATTTTACAGGTGCTTTAAAACTTTGATATATCCAACCCTGCACAGGTGCATAAGAAAGGAGCATGAGCACAAGTGGCCCTTTCATTTTTGCACCTCTGAGAAAAGGCAGGCAGAACTGTAGTCTGTGTGGTCAGGGTTGAAAACTGTGAACTATTAATGTCACTGGCAGCTCTACAATACTCACAGAAACTAGGGAGGAACTTGGACCAATGAGCCCAAGTTGCATGGTGTTAAAAGGTAAGACAGCAGTCATTTCCCCCTGACCTTCTGGAGGAACTGTACCCTATCTAGCTCTAAGCCTCTTTGCATATGTTCAATTCAGAATCAAGACATGAGTGAAAAAGGAAGTTTTGATGCAAGAAACTCTTTAGCCTTCATCTAACATCACCTTAAAGGACAAAGAGATTAACCAATAGTAAAATAAAACACAAAAACAAAACAGGTGTTCTTACTCCCCCAAAGTAAATTGAACTATCTGTTCCTGAAATAAGTATTTTTTTTATTACAGATGACATTGGCCATTTTGAAAGGCATTGCATTTCTAATGCAACCAATTATAGCTAAATATTGATATAATTATTAGGGCCTAATTCTGCCATTTTTACTTCCATTTAGTAGCATCTGACTTCATAGATAACCTGTGTGACTTTGTAACCCACACACCTAGGCTATGTCTACACTGGCGCGATCTTGTACCAGAGATATGCAAATGAGGCTAAGCGTGGAATATAGCCGAGCCTCATTTGCATATCTAGTGAGCTGCCATTTTTGCAGAAGAGGCTCTTGTGCCAGAAGGAGCTGTCTACATTGCCCCTTCTTGCGCAAGAAAATCCCTCTTGTGCAATGCCGCTCCACTGATTAGTTTAAGTAATAACGGCATTGCGTAAGAGGGTTTTTCTTGCGCAAGAAGGGGCAGTGTAGATGCTCCTTCTGGTGCAAGAGCCTCTTCCGCAAAAATGGCAGCTCATTAGATATGCAAATGAGGCTCGGTGATATTCCACGCTTAGCCTCATTTGCATATCTCTGGTGCAAGATCGCACCAGTGTAGACATAGCCCTAGTGTGGTTCACTGTCCCGTGTAGTGGCACTTAGACCACTTACAGCGAGAAATAAGAACAAGGGAGCACTACAGCCTAAGCTGAGAGCCAGCTGACTTAATAGTGCAAGCTATTGAGGCGCCTACACTAAATTCTAGAGCTCCCAGGTTCAAATCTTCCTGGTGGTGGTTACACCTTCACTAACGCTACCTGCGGTGTAGGTTCTATGCAGTGTGAATATCAGATTCAGGTCCTTAAGCTGCTAATGTTGTCACTTTGTGGTCTTTTTTTCAATGTTACGCCAATGCTAAAGTATCTCACTATTTTTCCATTAAAGTGTTCCAACACTCTTGCACTCTACCTTCTAATTTTACCTTTAAAACTTACATTTCCTGTCAATTCTCCAAACTTAATTAAGTATCTGTTTTTTCACGAGGCTGACACTTTTCACTGCCCATGAGAAAAAGCAAGAAATTGTACTAATTATCTTCAAGAAAGTTGAGATAAGTTTCTACTAATGCTGTTTCTTCTCTGGCAGACCAATAAAAGCCAAAGGAGACACCTTTTGAGAAGACTAAAAATCTGACTTGCAGTCTCTATCTTAATTAGCATAAAGTTATCCATCCTGCTTTGCACTGTAAATTAAATTTAGGAGAAAATACTCTGAGCCATAAATATCCTAAGAATCCCAGAACAATTACTAAATTAAGCAGTAGATAATCTTTTAATAATACAATTCTGTTTTTGTAAATCTTGTTTTCCATACCAACACGCCATTGTGAGTGGGTGCATTCTAAGTGTCTACATAGATAAATAATAATTACACTGTAGCATGAAATCTTCCTTTGTTTTATTGCAGACACTTTTGCCAGTCTTAATTAGGTCTCCAAATGGCCTAAATTATGCCCATAAAATAATCAGATGTGCAAAATTGAATCTGCAAATTTGAGACACAAAAAAGGCCAGGTTTTGAAAATCTGACCCTGCTGGTACATACCTTCCAACTGATTCATAAAATATGTTGAAACAAGCAATTGATTTAACCCCAGTATTATTTACCCCAAGTAATAATATTTAATGTACCTATGAAATCAGTTACATTAGACTGAACAGGGAGAAATTCTTCTTTACTTTATTGGCACAATGTGAAGTAATGGAATAAAATGTACTGATTTCTTAGTCTGCAGTTACTTAAATGTTTTATGACTACATTATGTTTAAAAAGATAAGCATCACAGCGTACAGCAGATCAGCTGTTCATTAAATTTCTCTATAATAATCTAAGCTTGCGAACAGGACAGCAGGTATGGATGGTGATAGGTCTGCTGTTGTTACCTGTACGGCATGTGCCATGTTTGTCTTCCTCCCAGAAGAGAGAACGGTTTTCATCTGCACTATGTGCAAGCTGGTCGCCATTTTGAAAGAAAAAATTAGAGGACTGGAGGCCCAAGTGTCGACCCTATGCTCGATCATAGAGGATGAAGACTGATTGGGCTGTTCCCTGTAGCCTCCCTCTAGCCTCTCTATGCAGGTTGGAGGGCCCATCACTACAGCTGTGTCCTCTGATGGGTTTGGCAGGACTGTGAGGCCTCCAGCAGGGGACCTTAAAGGGCTTGATACACCCCATCACTCAACTCTTAAATCAGTGTTTCTCGAAGTGGTCCACGGACCCAGTCTGAGAAAGCTGCTACAGGGCCCCTCCGGTTTGTTTACTTACTAGCTCCGCAGTCACGGAGTTTTGCGGCTCCAATTGGCTGTGATTCCCTGTTTGCAGCCAAGGGGAGCCGCGGGAAGCAGTGGCCTGGGCCATGCTGCTTCCCACAGCTCCTTGGCTGCCAACAGCGAACTTCAGCCAATGGGAGCTGCAAAGCTCTGTGACTGCGGAGCTGGTAAGTAAACAAACCAGAGTGGCCCAGTAGCAGCTCTCTCAGACTGGGTCCGTGGACCACTTCGAGAAATACTGCCTTACATCAGTGCTAGCCTATTCCAGCAGGGGGAACCCTGACTGGGGAGATCAGGATGCTTTACAGCTTCTTCGTGATGCAAAAGCAGCCCAAGGGAACATAGCTGGCTCATGATAGGGCAACTGAAAGTGCTGAGCCTAAGAAGGGAAGTAGCCCAGGGAAACACAGTAGGTGGTAGTTAAAGGGAAGCAGCTGGTGGCTGCTACTTATATGGCCCCTGCTAGGTTGGGAACTGGAGTAGAGGGCAGGCTTGGGTCCCTCCCGTCACAGGCAGAGTGGCCTGAGCACTGAAAAAGGAGCTTAATCAAGCCCAGAGAATGGAGTTGACGATTCTGAAGAGAGTCATCATGGGCCACCGCAAGCAGAGCAAAGCTAAGGGTGTGGTGTGCTGGTACAGACAAACCCAGACAGCTGGAGCTATTTGATTAAACTGGCTACCCTACTGGTCTCAAGCTCGGGAAGTAACAAAAAGTACTTCCAGGCCCAGTGAACAATGAGCACAGTACAGCATTGAGGCCTTTGGTACAAGTATGCAAGTGATACCTGGAGGAAAAAATCTTGCCTAAATACAACGGTGAAAGTAACTTACAATTTCTTACAGGTACTGTCCTATTGCAACCTAGGTCTTTGCCAGCTCTTTAAATAGCTCCGTGCTGGCTTTTGCTGCAGCTCAGCCAGCTTCTTGCCAGAGCTGTACACCGGGGCGCAACCAGATTATTTTCACCTCTACCTAAACATCAGAGGCCAAATTCCTTCCTGGAATCATAGATATATAGTACTGACAGGGACCTCGACAGGCCAACTATTCCAGTATGCAGCTCTGAGGCAGGACTAAGTACTATCTAGACCATCCCTGACAGGTTTTTGTCTAACCTGTTCTTAAAAACCTCCAATTATGGAGATTCCACAATTTCTCTAGGTAAGTTTTCCCTGTGCTTAACCACCCGGACAGAAAGTTTTCCTAATGTTTAGCCTAAAATGTCATTGCTGCAATTTAAGCCCATTGCTTCCTGTCTTTTTCTCAGTGGTTCAGGAGAACAGTTTATCATGACTCTCTTTATAAGAACCTTTTACGTGCTTGAAGACTCTTATGTCCCCTCTCTGTCTTCTCTTCTACAGACCACACAAAAGCATTGTAAAAAAAATCTTCCCTCATAAGCAAGGCCCTCCCCAGATATTCATGCACAGGGCCCAGGCAAGCTCTCCTACCACAGGCCCTACCCCACCCCTTTCACAAGCCCTGCCCCTGAGCAACAGGGTCTGAGCCTGCCCCACTGAACCACCTTTGTGGTCCACTGCACCCCACTTCTCTGCAGAGGCAGGAAGCAAAGCACCCTGAGGCCAAGACATTCTGCTTCCCCCTGCTGTTGAGAAGCCAAGTGCAGTGAGCCAGAAGAGGATGGTGGAGGGACGCTCCAGCTCCTGCTACTCTGGTTAGTGCAATGGGGAGGGGGGCGACATCTCCTGCTGCTGTGCCAGTCCCCCGGCCCCAGATAATCCCATGGGTCCCACCCATAGTATGATTTGGGTGGCTGCCATAGGGCCCCCAAAAACAGTGGGGCATGGGGTTGCTGCCCAGAACTGTCCTATGGACAGGACAGGTCTGCACATCGGTCATGTTTTCTAGATGTTTCATCTTTTTTTCCCCCTCTCCTCTAGACATTCTCCAATTTGTCCTCATCTTTCCTGAAATGTTGCACAAAGTACTGGATATGATACTCCAGTTGAGGCCTTATCTGTGCTGAATACAGCAGAATTATGTCTCAAGTCTTGCTTTCAACACTCCTGGTAATACATCCCAAAATTATTATAGCTATTTTTTGTTACACTATTGACTCATACTTATTTTACGATCCACTACAACCCCCAAATCTTTTTCTGTAGTATTCCTCCTAGCCAGTCATCTTCCATTTTGCATTTGTGCAATTGATTATTCCTTCCAAATTGTAGTACTTTGCATTTGCATTTATTGAATTTCATCATATTTAATTCAGACCATTTCTCCAGTTTGTCAATGTTATTTTGAATTCTATATGTGTCCTCCAAAGCATTTACAACATCTCCTGGCTTGATAATATGAAAACTTTACATGTGTATACTCTATGCCATTATCCAAATTATTTATTTATGAAGATATGAATAGAACTGACCCCTGGACAGAGCCCTGCAGGATCCCATTTGATACGCCCTTTCAGATTAAGTTTGAACTGCTGAAAACTACTCGCTGAGTATGGTTTTCCAGCCAGTTATGCACTCACCTTATAGTAGGTTTGCTTAGGCCATATTTCTCTGATTTGTTTATGAGGTCATCAAAAGCCTTACTAACTTCGAGATATATGACATTCACTGCTTCTCTCCTATCACAAGGCTTGTTACCCTGTCAAAGAAGGATGTTAGGTTGGTTTGATATAGTTTGCTCTTGACAAATCCATGTTCACTATTACTTATCACCTTATTTTCTTCTGCATGCTTACAAATAGATATTGAAGCAAATAATAAAACAATCCATCTTGGTACCAAGGTTAAGATGACTTTTCCATAATTTCCTGGGTTGTCTTTATTCCACTTTTTACAGATAGGCATTATATTTGCCCTTTTCCAGTCCTTTTGTATGTCTCCCATTCTCCATGAGTTTTCAAAGATAATCACTAATGGCTCAGAGATCTTTCCAGACAATTCCTTAAGAAGTCTAAGATATTTTCTCAGCCAAGTTGGATGTTTTCAAGTCAGCAGGGCCGAAGTAATTCTTAATTTGTTCTTTTCCTATTTGAACCTCAGATCCTACTCTGTTTATACTTATGTTCAGTATGTTAGTCATCTAATCACTGCAAACTTGGTGAAAACTGAAACAATCAAGTGGTTTTGGATTAAGGTAAGGATGAATTTAAAGTTCAGCATCTAGACTACAAAAATGTAAAAGTGGGGTAACTCCATGAGTGGACACTTATTCCAGAATAAAAGTGTCCCATTAGAGTTATTCCTTAAGGCTGTGTCTACACTGCACCCCTTTTCTGGAAAAGAGATGCAGATTAGACACTTCGGAATTACAAATCCGCGGGGGATTTAAATATCCCCCGCAGCATTTGCATTTACATGGCTGCCGCTTTTTTCCGGCTTGGGGATAAGCCAGAGAAAAGCGCCAGTCTAGACGCGATTCTCCGGAAAATAAGCCCTTTTCCGGAGGATTTTTTATTCCTACTTTTGAACTGACAGTAAAACAGTTTAGTAAACAACTCTGCTGATGATGCAAAAAAGCAAAAGAATGTATCTCCACTCTTTGTTTTGGCTCTTCAGTTCTAATAGGCATAAATACAATAAACTCTTATTGACCCCAGATACCACACCAGGAGACTGTCTGTTGGATATGTTTGTGCCAGTCTTGTATGGTCACTTTTCAGAGTAGACTTGCTCTTTGAATTTTATTTCCTGTCAGCTATTACTCTTCAATTCCTCTCTAAAGGTACATCTACACAGCACTGTTATTTCAGAATAACTGACGTTTCAAAATAACAAAATGCACATAATGTCAAAATACTGTCCAGCCAGAGGACTTCTTACTCTGACTCCTATAACCCTCATTTTACGAGGATTAAGGGAAGTTGGAGGAAGAGTACTCTATTTCAAAATAAGTGCTGTGTAGATGCGCTGAATTTCGAAATAAGCTATTTCGACTTAAGCTACACAATTAGTGTAGCTCAAGTTGCATATCTTATTTCAAGATTAGCTCTTCTATGTAGATGTACCCTAAGGCTACGTCTACACTGGCATGATTTTCCGAAAATGCTTTTAACGGAAAACTTTTCCATTAAAAGCATTTTTGGAAAAGCGCGTCTAGATTGGCAGGATGCTTTTCCGCAAAAGCACTTTTTGCGGAAAAGCGTCCTTGGCCAATCTAGATGCGCTTTTCCACAAAAAAGCCCCGATCGCCATTTTCGCGATCGGGGTTTTTTTGCAGAAAAACAGTACTGTGCTGTCTTCACTGGCCCTTTTGTGCAAAAGTCTTTCGGAAAAAGACTTTTGCCCGAACGGGAGCAGCATAGTATTTCCGGAAAAGCACTGATGATTTTACATGAGATCGTCAGTGCTTTTCCGGAAATTCAAGCAGCCAGTGTAGACAGCTGGCAAGTTTTTCCAGAAAAGCTGCTGATTTTCCGGAAAAACTTGCCAGTCTAGACACAGCCTAAGTGTAATTCTTCACAGACTAAAACTGACTAAAATTATTTTAATTTATTGCATCTTTATATCTTTCCCTGAATGGCACTTTGCTTAAAAGCTATTTCTTGAAAAGATTGCAATGGGCGGTTTTCATCAGCGCAGACAACATCAATTAATACACTATCCTGACACCTGAATATGTTTAACGTTTTCATTAAAAGTTGAGCAGTATGTAAGTCAGGAGTGGTCCCCAGCTGCAGGCTGAAGTGGGTTACAAATGATTGCTGCAATCTCAATATAACATACAGTAAACAGGGTACTTTTTCTGATAACCTTGGTTACACAGTATTATAAATCTATTACTATGAAGTTGCATCTCTCTCCATATCTTCATTCAACCACTTTCTTTCATTGCCTGGTCTCAGTGAAAATTCAATTGAATAGATCTTCTTCAGAGTTGCTGGACTCTACAAATAGCTGAAGAAGCTGAGGAGTGGGGAGCCAAGATAAGGCTGGGATATTCATTTTCTTCTGAGTGTACCTGTCACAGACCTCACAAGTTTTTTCAGGTATGGTACCTTGATTTCTTGTTTCTTTATGACCTATTGGGACTCTGAGTTGAGAGATATTTTAGCTATCATAGAGGTTTGCAAGTGCTCATGAAGAGTGCCAGTTTTACATCCCTGAAAACTGAAATGTTTTGAGACCTTGCTACACTAGTATTTTTGTTACAATCTCCCACCAACTTTTTTTCTCTGGTATTTGTATATCTCTCATCACCATCCTGTATAAACAATTCACAAACATATTTTTTTAAATGTGTTTATTTTTACAACAGCCTCTTGAGACAGGGAAATACAAAGATCGCCCATTTTACAAATGGTACAAAATGATTTAATGACTTATTCAAGAACAGGGAAATACAAAGATTGCTCATTTGACAAATGGTACAAAATGATTTAATGACTTATTCAAGGCCACGGGAGGGCTGTGGTGGAACAGGGAATTGAACCCGATCTGCATGCAGTGTTCAAGATGTGGGCATACCATGACTTTATATGGAGGCAATATGGCATTTTGTCTTATCTAGTCCTTTTCTAATGATTCCCAATAGATTGCCTTTGCACATTGAGCAGTTGTTTTCAGAGAACTATCCACAATGATTCCAAGATCTCTTTCTTGAATGGTAGCAGCTATTTTAGTTCCTATTATGTTGTATACTATATTATATAGTTGGGACTATATTTTGCATAGAGGTTTCTGAATAGAGGACTCCTTTAACCTAAAAAAGTGTTCAACAAACTTGACATACAGGAGGGATGCCTTCAACACTTGAGTGCAACCAACATTATTATGGTGGAAGGTTGTAGCTTTTAAGTTGCACTCAACCAAGCTATAGCTCAGAAGGGAGATGCAAGATCACTTTTTCTAACTGAAGCTATAGGGTAATTAATTGGAGCAACTGAGACAGAATATAACTAATCAGCTAGCATTTGTCCGGAATTTCACAGTTAGTACTCCCTGTACTTGCTGTACATACGGCCATCAGCAATTAAAAGACCAAATTAGGAGGATCTTGTTTTTACTTTAATCTGAAAGATTAATCTTCCCACAGCACAGAGTCCTGTAACACTGTGCTGGGGCATAGGATCAGTTAAATACTGTCTCATTGGGAAGAGTGCCACTTAATGAATCACCAAATCTATTGTCTGTCTCAACTAGTTATTTCCTTAGCAGTTTCCCATTAAAGTCCTATCTAGGCATGGCACTTGTTAGTTTATGAAATATCAAGATAGGAATCCGAGATGGTTTGCCTACTGGTTAAATTGGGCAGTATTTGTGTAAGAGAAAATGTGTTTGCTTTTTCTTTTCGGCTTCGAAAAAGGACACTTAACTTGCCTCACAGTCTGTATTTTTACCCTCTAACATACATTTAAAGAGTCAGATTCTCCACTGCTCTGCATGTGAGATAGTCAGTTACACCAATGCAGAGTGTGTGAAAATTGTTACCGTTCTGACCCAACTGCACTCTACTCAGAGGTTCACACCTTTTTTTGGTGGCTTCAGAGTGTTGGCACCAACTCTTGCTTAAAAATTAAACTTAAAGAAAAACAAAACATATTTTGGTGGCTTCAGTGTTGGCACCAACTCTTGCTTAAAAATTAAACTTAAAGAAAAACAAATATGCACACATACATGTCCAAGTCATTGTAATATATTTATATAGGTTTTTTTACATATTCAATAATCAAAATAATGTACCGTTGTCTCTATTCTTTACTGAACCTAAACTGAATATTCAGGGGGTAGCCAAGTTAATCTGTACAGGATAAACTTAAAACAACAAATGGTCTGGTAGCACTTTATAGACTAACAAAACATGTAGATGGTATCATGAGCTTTCGTGGGCACCGCCCACTTCTTCAGATGTCCGGAGTGTTGTAAGTCCAGAACCAACACTTCTGGACTTCCAATACTCTGGTCATCTGAAGAAGTGGGCTTTGCCTACAAAATCTCATGACACCATCTACATGTTCTGTTAGTCTATAAAGTGCTACCAGACCATTTGTTGTTTTTTAAGTTTATCCTAAACTGAATAGAAACACAAATAAGTTGCTTTGCACTTCCTTGTTTTTTGTTGTTGTCTTTTGCTTTTTTGGTTGTCTTTTAATTTTGACTTGCTAGTTAGTAAGTTTGCTGCTGCAAAAATTAATATTTGTATGTTAATGTCACGTTTCACAGCCTCCCAGATAGCTACTAAGTCTGCTATAAAAATTGACATTAACAAACATACCCAAACATTGCGTTTTACGGCAGAATTACTCAGCCCCAGCAAGCCCAAGTACAAAGTAAGCCCTGGATGAGGAGGTGAGTAGGAAGCAAGGGCATTTGGAGGGGGAGAGAGGGTAAAGCCAGGGTTGGAGCCAGAAGCCCCATAGTTGGAGCCTGCTGCCTGCCACCCCAGGATTCAAGTCAGACCCCACTGCCTCTGGGAAGGTAGAGGACTCACTGACTACCTGCTCCTCCAGTATTTGTGTCTCCGGATGAGGGCAGAACCCAGCTCCTGCTGAGACCCTTAGGGCAAGGGCCACTGATTTGCTCCCCCACCCCATCACCACTCAGGAAGCTGTGGCCACAAGGAAAGCCCAAGGTGGCTGCATTTGAGGCACACTGCCTTACACACACTTTGCACAATAGCTATACAAGGTGTGGGGCAACTTG